CCGATTGTATTGTCGTACATGTCCTGTGTTCAGTTTGGACTTCAAAGCGCCGAAGTCCTGGCAGGGCTCCATTCGCCTTGTCCTGCCCCTTGCTGTGGTCTCGAAATTCTGCTATTCAAACAAGGGGTTTAGGATTTCACGAAACTCGAAACGATGCTTCCGCCACAATGCCATCTGTCCCAAAATTGTGCTACTGCCACAGCACTGAGCATGTACAGTAGTGCGTGTCTTGTTCCTTTCCACTATATAATTTAATTTGGCTTTGTTGTTCCTCTTTTTCCTTGGGTTCTGTGCAAAAGAACAAAGTGAAACAAGAGCCTGCTTCAGTTCCTTCAGTACACCTGTTTCACTTTGGTATCTTAATGAGATCAATAACCCAACTTCTGTTTCCAACTCCTATTTCCTTCTGTCTTTTGTCCAATTGAAATACAAGCAATGAAGTGACAAAGGAACGTAAGCCTGTTTTTGAATGTTTCAATTCAACAGAAAGACCAACGAAATGGAGGAAAGGAACGACAGGAAAAACATGAAAGGGAAAGGCAGGGGCTCTTCTTTGTCACTTATTGATTGCGTACCGGCTCCCTAATTGCAGGCCTGGAAGCGGGACTTTTTTCGGATTTCAACTTGACCATGGTCGGTACAGGAGTCTGTTTGCCTCGCCGCTGTTTCAAGCTATTTTGTCGGTTAACTTGTCATACTAGGCGCACTCGTACGACAAGCCCCAGCGGCCCGTGACAGGCCAGCACGGGAGTCTAGCGAGGCTCTCGAGGCACGTGACGACGATGTGTACATCAAAATCTGCACCCGGACTCATTGAGGTCTGACCCACACGGACTCCTGGCACAAGCTCCCCCAACCAACAGCACTTGCAGAAGGCTGTTGTCTACAGCTCCGGAATTCCTTGGTCTTCTTGTTCCAGAAATACGGGACATTATACTCGTCCGACCAGTGCTCCTCCGAAGCGAGTCAAATTAGACACGAGCTCTGTGGACATGTCTGGCTGCCAGACTGCTCCTCCCAGTCAGGAGGCAGGCCTTCCTCTTCCTGAGCTTCCTGGGACTGGGACTGCCAGCCGTCGGCTTGCCTGTAGTGGCTACAAATCAAGTCTTCCTCTTCTGAGCTTGAGAAGCTTGGCCAGAGGCTGGTAACCGGTCGACTGCCACTTGTTGTAACCGGTCTGCACCAAATCGTGTGCAGAGAGCAGCTGCAAGCTGCATCTGGCAAACCGGCCTTGGGCCCTGCGTTTTGCAAGCCTTTGCCTGAAGTGCCAAGAGAAATTTCATGGCTTACAAGAATGCCACAACAGTACCACACCTGCTGGAAGGTTGTCCACAATCCTGCAGTTCTGCGCCCCTAGGCCGCTGTTGTCCACCTGATAGTCAATAGTGTGAAAGCCGCACCCGACCTCTTGCCCTCACTAGATCTTTCCCGCGAAACTTAGCCTCGGGCGTACAGCAGAAAGGACACGCGGCAACCGGGAATTACCGTCACGCTGTCGTCCTCCATGTCGGAGAGATGAACATAAACTTTTCCCTGGCGTTTGCTAGCGCCAGGATGGTTGACAGGCTTGTCCGGAATGATCCAGCCATACTTCCCCCACCATTCGTGAAGTTGGCCACTCTGCTCAGCTGTGCCGATCTGTTGTCGTGGCAGCTTCGACTTGGCTTTAAAGCCATCGGCAGATGGGGGTGCAGCTGTCATGGCATTTGCACTGTACCCCTTGGCAGCAGTTGCTGGAGGTCCCTTTCCAGGAGTCGTCGCTGCTCCAGACTTCTTCCCATCTTTGCCAGTGGTAGTGACATTCTGGATGGGTGGCTTCCCGCTCTTGCCCAGAGTCGCTCCTTTGGGTTTCCCGCCCTTCTTCGGAACTGGCTTCATGAGTGTCGGCGGCTCTGGCTTCTTGAGCGTCGGCACTTCTGGCTTCTTGAGGTGCAGCTGCAGCACTTTCTGTGCTGGCTTCACGAGTGGCTTCACCGGCGATGACTTCGGCTGTGGAGGCTGTGGCTTCCCGGCCTGGCCTTGGCCGTCTGGGCTGGGCTGGCTCTTGCCGGGCACAAGCCGACAGAACTCGGCACCTAAGCGACCGCCTTCAGCGACTTCGGAGTAGACCAGGAAGTCCACCGCTTCACCGGGCTTCAAAGCCTGACCCGCCGAGACATCCTTCCGTCTAACCACAACCAAGCCGCTGTTCTTGGAGCTCAAGCCATGGTCGATCTTGGCATCCGGTCGGATCCATCCCTCCTCACCTTGCCAGCTGGCCACCTTGCCAGACACTCTTCCGCAAGTCACTCTCGTGCGATACTGGGCCTGGGCCTTAACAACAGGCTTGTTGTGTCCATGCTGCGCTTGCTGCGCTCTCTTCTGCTTCATGGCGCAGTCAGCCCTTCCGGTTCATCGGCCCGGCATGGTCAACTTTCCCTAGCCTCCTGGGCTGAAACCAACCTGAGCCGACGACAGGAAGGAAACCCGTGTAGCTAACATTGGCCGGCAAGGATCCACGCATGCTTGCATGTGTTCGTGGATGGGTGCCGGACCGTGCTCCATTTTCCATGCGAGGTGGCACGTGCAACCTGTTTAGGTCAGCTGGGTAGCTGCACCAAGATTTTTGGTAACAGCAAAAAGGCATGCGCAAGCTGTGTGAAACGGGTACTGGGCGGTGTAGGGCTTTGCACGACTGTGCTTGACCTGCCTGGTTGCCCGCAACGACTGTACAGTGTCAGTGTGCAAACTTGTCGTCTCAGAGATGACACTATGTGGCACTGCTGAGATCAAATCTCATGGCTGCTCATGCTTCGAGTGGCAGTCTTTGCAGCTTCAGCAACCCGACGCTGCACTGCTTGCTGCTGGACCTGACCCAATGACATGAGCCCATCTTGGCAAGGGCAGGAGTCTTGCACATCCGCTCTGTTACTGTACATGAGCATTAGATATTGAGTTCTCGGCCTCCTCCCATGGGAGCGCAACGTCGTAGGTCAATTCGTTGCGTGCACCATTGATGATGTTGTGCTGCCTGTCCTGTTGCAGATGCTTTCCGGAGACTCGGCAGACACTGAGGATTTGCAAGACTGTCTGCTCGTGCAACACTCGCAGGATCAAGCTGAGCAGCCCTCACGTCGTGACCTCAAAAACCGTCGGCACCGGTACTGCAGAACGGACTCGCAAGGCACAAGCAAGTTTCTGCCAGCAAGGCATGCAAAGCCTCCGGAGCAACACAGGAAGTGAGAATGTAACTAGGCTCGTCACTGCGCAGGGCCGCGGCTCGTTCAGGGTCCCAGGTCTCGGCAGGAACTCAAAAGCAGCCCGAGGTTGCTGGGGCTGGCTTGTTCGTGAGGCGCCGACCGGCGAATATTTCGGAAAGAGGCGGGCGTGTGTATCAAGAAATCGGAATGGATGTTGCTCGGGATCGATGCATTTTCGCTGAATGCAAATGTCCTGCCGAGGGCACCACACAGACGTCCCGACAAACATACTGCATGTCAAGCGCATGCACCGGACCTTCGAGCGCTCCAGGCCCGGATCAGTGCCATAGCTTCGCATTGCCACTGCATCGTCTGAATAATTCTGCGCATGTAAGTTTCCAAAGCGATTCTCGGCAATGTTTGCCTTGCGCTCTGCCTGCACAGTCTCGACAAACTGCGATGGTCGTAGATGCATCTCACTCCGAGTGATGCCCCGCCTGTGCAGCCAAATGCTGATAACGATCTTTGTACAGCAAGGTATCCGGATGGGTGGGTCCATCAATTCCCAGGATACCCTTGGTCCAGGACATGCTGAATCATTGGTCAAGTCATGGCTTGGGGCTGCCATGCACTTCTCTCAAAAGTCAAACTGAGACATTCGCTTCCGGGTGCTTCCGCTCCAGGACCGTCATGCGCTTACGATATCGAAACACTGCGTCCCTTTCCTCTCGCCACTTCTGTTCACCAGCTTTCATGAGGAGATGCTCCTTGTACCGCTCGGATGGAAGCATCAGGCTGTGGTTCTGATACCTGCCGGCAGAATCTATTGGTGCACCAATGCCTGGAGACCGTAAGCCGTAAACTCCGTAAACATGAGTAGGAGGAGCACATCTTGATGAAGGAATCGTCAACTTCTTCAGGTGGAGGCGGGATCTCAAAGGTCCCTTCGCGAGGATCGCCCTTTGGGTCCATCAGCGGATGCGGCAAAATGGACATATCCATTGCGCCACATTCCTTGTCGACTGAGGGCTTGAGACCAATGAACCGCTCTCCAAGTTCCGGGTCTGCAGGAACATCTACCAGACTCCCCAGCCTTGACCGGTCGGATAACGCGGGCTTCGCTCACAAAGCTGACGGAAGGGCGAATCTGCCCATATGTGGCCTTGTTCGAGCCACACAAAATCGCATACTTAAACTTATGCCACGATGTTGCTTACAGGCACCAAGGACTACCGTGAGGGCCGAAGGGTGCTTCTGACTTTGTCGTCTTGGGGTCTGGCCATCTTCCTAATGAAGCGATCTCCCTGCGTGGGCGCCTGCACAGAAGGCGGGTCGCAGACGTCTTCCAAACAAGAAGAACTGAGAAGCCTCTGCATGCTGATATCCAGGGTCGGTGGATTTCAAGAAGGAATCCAATCGCATCGTGGGATGTGCACCGCGAGATGCTCCCAAAGCCAAGCCCCCGACCTGAGATGAAAAAGGCCGCTGAACAGCGAACTGGGAGACTCAGAAGCTTCTTGCGATCTCCAGCTAAGCACGCAGGTGACGAAGAAATGCCCAAGGCACAGAAGCCGCTTGGGACGATGCACCCGCCATGCCACTCCGTTGTCCAGGCATCCTAACGAGCGACCTAAGATCCTCCGAGGAGGCCTCGGTCACTCCTTGAGCCCTGCAGAAATTACATCTCGGACATCTCTCCACAACACAAACTCTGCAAACCAACCCGGCATCAAAGTACCGTAGGCAGTGTGCGCTCACAGCTTTCGATGCGGCATCTGCTGTACAAGTACCTACTGTGGACAGAACGCTTTCTGGCACTACTCAGCTGATGCCTTTCACCTTCTGCTTCAAATAATCGGCCTGAGCTCTACATGAAATGAGAGGTGACGGTGCATGATGAAAGTATGGCGTTCCTGTGTTCATGCCTGCCGAGTAAGGCAAGGGCACGCCAACACCAATATTTCGCCCTTATTCTATCCAGCTCCTTCAGCCTCTCGTACTGGTCAAGGGCTGCTTGGACTTCTCCCCTTGCCTCAAAAAACACGACTCGATAGAAGCTGTCGCTGGCAGAAATGCTGCCGATTCCTCGTGGATGTTGGCGAGGGCTTGGATGGCGAAGCAGCAGGATGGGCCCTGATTATCTGCGGCATGAATCACCTCCGCAATGCACTGCGTGCAATCAGCAGCGAAAACTGTCTTGCAGGTTGCCTCGCGACAGAGCATCTCAAGCGCCGGTGCCGAAGTCCAGGGAACCTGCATCCGGGACTCATGATTGGCCGTGCAAACCACAGACTTGGCTTTGCGGCGCGGCAACCTTCCCATCTCCTTCGCCCAGGAAAGCGGACAAATAGTTCCAGGCACACTCGTTGCTTGCACATTTCCGGATCGCTTGCATGGCAAAAGCCAGCTCACGATCGCGAATGCTGTCTGTCAGTGGCCAGCTTTGATTTCGAACCACAGTGTACCTCCCAGCGTGCGCATTCAAATGAAAGGACGCAAAGGACGCCTTCGGCGCAAAGCGCCGGCGGCCCGGACCCCGGCCCGGCCTGTGGTTCCAGGCAGAATTGTTGCGGATGTCTTCTTCCAACAAGAGCTCCACGAAAGGGAGCTCTTCATGCCACATATTGAATTGCTGCAGTATGTACTGTCGATGAGACCTTGGTGCGAACGTCAGCAGCACAGCACAAGCCTGCGTCTCGAAGCTGCCCTGACCACTGAAGGCAGCACCAGCCGTTGTAATTCTTGTAGTCACTGTTCACCCGCATACACTCCTCATGACACAGGCAACCCGGGCCCACAACAAGCTCAAACCATGTACCTCAAAAAGAAGGACACGGAAAGAACAACTGATTTAATCAGTTGCTACGTCTTCTAAGTACTGCGAGCCCCAGCTGCCAAGTGATAGTCCAGCTCGGTCTTGGCTATTTGCTGGATGGTCGCTTCGGCTTCTGGGCCTGGCGTGTGGGAACGTGCTCGCGCCGCCATCTCCGACACGAGCCACCGCCTGTGGTACCACACCTGCAGAGGCAGAGAAAAACGGAGCAATTTTGGTGACCTCCACCCTCGCTTCCCACTACATGGCTACATGGCCTGGTAGTTCTTCGGGCAGTCTCTAGCCCACTTATCAGTGAACACTCGCTCGTCTTCCAGGTCGATGCCCAAATCTTTGAGGCACCGCCGCCGATAGTACCAAGCCGTGTAGTTGGCTGAGTTATGCTCGATAACATCAGCAGTCAAGTGCAGCGCCCTCTCGCTGGTCTCATTGCGCTGCTGAATCGCCCGAAAATAGTTGTGAACCTCGATAGTTGGAACAGCCACAGTCTTGAACCACAGCATCTGGCAAACCAAACTCCAAAGTCTGTCATGTTGCCTCTTCGAAGCCCAACGGATACTTTATCACCTTTGCTGTCCATTGCAGACACGAGCTGCAGACTTCCAAGTAGAACTACAGCATTTCGGAAGCATGGCAGGCCCAAGAAGCTGCAAGAGGATGTGGACCGTCGTTTTGCGGAATGGGAGAAATATCCTGCGTTAGCGTTGAGCTGAAGCAGAACAGGCAGCAACTCACGATTCGCGATAACTTGAAGGGACCATACCTGCAGAAACCAGGCTTTTCAGAGCCGATGTCTTGCATGACCATGCACCAACACGACTAGAACTATGCACGAGCCGCTAAAAAAGGCAACGCCTTCCACGACTCCCGCTGGCTGTACGGCAACTCGTCTTCGAGATTCTCTGCTTCCATCTCGACAATCTGCGAACTCTGCTTTTCGATGCTCGAGCCGAGGCAGCCACATCACATGTGGCTTAGCTGCATTAGCGCGACAACACCGCGGAGCCCTCAAGTCGAAAGTAACCACACGACAAAGGAACCGGCACAGCCTGCCTAACTGCAGAGTGCAAAGGCAGGACAGGACAAGAGCATAAGAAGGAGGTGTCGCAGCGCGGGTAGCGCAAAGTGAACTACAAACAACTTGTATCCAGAGTTTCAACATAAACTTGCTGGAGACCAGTTGCTGGAGCATTCGGCATACGTGTTGCGCCAGGAGCACTCTTTTGTATGCAGAAGCCTCTGCTTGACGCTTCGAAGGCTGCCCTTTGGCAACCACCGGCATTTCACGAGAAGAGGCATATGCAATCTGAGCTCGGGCTCGGCTTTCCTGTAAAGACTGTGCAATGCAGTCTTGTAGCATGGCGAGTCTTGGTTCTCATAAATATCTGATGAAGAGCCCGACGCTCATGCGAACTCAGAAACACCTCTCCGAGTCCAGCATCTTACAATCCTTGTGGCATTGCTTGTGTGCCTTTGCTCAGGTCTTCGCCTGTTGTTTGCAAAACTTTGCCGCTGGCTTCGCAGGCCTGCTTCAGGTCGAATTTTTACAGTAACACAAGGGCTGTCGCGATGAGAATTGTACAGTTGAGCAGTCCACGCTGGACGCCGGTTCTGTGGGGTCCCAGTAGTAACAGCTTCCACTCGTCGTAGTGAAGGGACTGCCGCCGCCATCCCTGAAGGGGCTGCCAGTCGCTGGTGGGGTGCACGTAAGATTGAGAAGGGAAAGCAATGTGCTCAGTGTCGCGGTGGAATTGATAGCAGCCATCTCCTCCTGGCCGCACTCGTCAAAGCCCGCGTTCGAGCAAGCGGTATTGCAAGGTTGGTTTGCAGCGGCCGAGATCCAGTTTTCAGGTGGCCCCTCAGTGCGGAATGCGATTTTCGATTTGAATCTCGATTCTTGGATTGAAGCATGAAACAGAGCAGTCAGCAGCGTTGGCACAGCGACCGAGACTAGACCTCCTAAACACAGAGCGCTTCTGTGCTTGGCGCCTCAATTTTTTTCTGCGGCTCATCTTCTCTGCTCGACACTCACACTTCAAGGGTGCCAAAGCATCGATGCAAACGAGCAGCAGGAATAGGTGCCTGGTTGCGAAGGGGCAACAACAACAAACAACACCAGCATCCACACGACTGCGGCATGCCCACATCTACTCAGCATGAGCCAACATCAGTCAGCAATCGGCAACCTTTTGCCACCAAGCAGCTGGCGGACCCTGAGACAGCAGCAGTTTCTGGGACCCTCTCACTTTCGTCTGATCTCACATATGGCTGCAGCCGGGCTATCTGCAACCAAGCATCAGGGACGCAGTAGCACATGGGCTGTCGACCTGAATTCAAAACGGTGTCGCAATTCACCTCTTCCGCAGGCTTGCTCGGGTCCCAATAATAGCAACTCCCACTCGTTGTGGTGAACGGACTTCCTCCACCATCCCGGAAGGGAGACCCTGTCGGTGGATTGCAGGTCAGGTTGAGATGGGACGTCAACGTGAAGAGCGCCGCTGAGGAGTTTATGGCTGCCATCTCTTCCTTGCCACAATTCGCGAAGCCCTCTTTCTGACAGGTATGGCTGCAGGGTTGGAATGCAACACCCGCGAGCCAAGGTCCACTCGGATCCTCAGCAAAGGGCACGATGCTTTACAGAGGGTTGACTACCAAGTTCAAGCAGGATTTGCAAGCCACTCGGGCGGTAAAATTCGAATCGACCAACCAAAAACGCACCGATGCGCGCCGGCAGCGATACTCCTCGTACTGACGCGGACGCGACGACGGCAACCATTGCAAAACTGCCGATGCTACTAGGCTGCAACCAACACTGCTACGGATTGCGGCCTTCATAGTCCCCGAAACGCCGAAGTCCCGAACCGAAAACCTGACAACCCGAGAGGCCCGAAAATGAAACATCTTGCCGAACATGTTGCACCTCTCGCGTGCGCTCGGAGATCCGTCAGGTGCAGCAGCACCATGTTGTACCATGTTGTACCCCTACCTTCCCGGACCCTTTCCTGCCCTGTGCACTTAAACCGAACTCTATACGCAGTCTTCCATTTAACTTAAGTAGATGCCGGTTGCAGACCGAGATGTTGCATGGCAATGCCCGCACGCTACAAAAGGAGGTGTCCCAATAGAGAAACCAACTCGCAGGCAAATCGGAGCTGCAACCTTAACACGCTGTACTGGCTGGAAGCCCCGGTCTCTGTCGGCGACACGGCTTGGACATCGAAAGCATCGAGACTTGCGATTGCTTCAGAAGCCCCTCTTCAGTTCGTATACACTGATTGCCACAAAAGGAACTGCATAACAATCTTCAGGTGAGAGCCCGAACCACTTAGTTCTTGGTTAAAGGTTCTTTTCCTTTCAGGATTCACCTCACTGGCAGCTAAGCAGCAGGAATTGGTGCCTGGCAGGATCTTGCACAGAGCGAGGCACCACAACCCTCACTCTCACTCTGAGAAGAATTGCTCTCTGCTGCAACCAAGCAGCTGGCGGACCCTTAGACTGAAACCAATTGAGTTTAGGAGCTCAGACATGCAATCCGACACGAGCCCATGTGCCGCCGAAAAGCTGGAACGCAGTAGCACAGCGGGATTCGGTTTCCATTTAAAACAGAATCGCAGTCCACATTTCCTGCTGGTTGGCCCGAATTCCAATAGTAACAGCCTCCGCCCGGCGTGGTAAAAGGACTCCCGCCATCATTTCTAGGCTCAGTTGGCGAGCATGCCACCGTCAGGTTCAGGTCGGAGACCAAGGTCAATATTGCTGCGGAAGTGTTGATTGCTGCCATCTCTTCTTTGCCACACTGAAATATGTTGCCTTCACTGTTGAGCGCAGAACACGCTGAATTGCAAGGCATGCCTTGAGGGGCTGAAATCCATTGTGATGGCACCTGCAACGGTCACAGCAGCAGACCAAACAATTAGTGAAGAAGTACAGCTACAGCATTGCATCGGCACATCGTGTTGTTGCACTGGTGACACATGGTTCGCTGCAGAGGCTGCGAAATGACATGCACATGGTTTCTGGCAATCCTCCACAATGCCCCGACCGCTGAAAACGTCTGTGTTGACTCTAATCACTCGCATCCCCCATCTGATTAAGCACACATGCCACTCTGCAGCACATTAGAAGGCACGTGCAAAACGGCTTCTGTGCCGGCAGCAACAAGGCAGGAGCCAGTGCACTTCTGAGTGCCCGGGACCATCCGAAGCCAAGTAACCGGAATTATGGTGGTGCTTGTTGACGTCGTGGATGGGGACGCCGTGGTTGTGGGCGTTGGCGTCGTTGGCTTGTGATACTGGTATCTACTGCTGTATTTGCCATGTCGGAAACGACGTCTTCGCCGTGGGATTCGACGGCGCCACAGCTGCTGATGTTCCTTGGCCCAGGAGACGAGATGCAGGGCTACGATTGAATCTGTTCGACACGATGATGTCACTTAAGTCTTGCTACACTGTCGTCGGACGGTGTGCTTGCCAGTATAAAGGTGCCCGGACCCCTGCTTGCGTTTCAGCACAACTTGAAACTTTTAAACTGGAAAAACAAGTGAAGTAATTAGGTTTGCCATGTCGTTTGCAACTTCCGTATAATAGCGTCACTATTGCACGACCTGCAAAGCCACGGGGCCATCCTGGCTTGCAGCACTGCCAGCTCATCGGTTGGACTCTCATCAAGCCTGACGGAAAGTGAACACGATTGCAGTCCAGACTCCTGGATGCTTCACGTCCGAATGCGCAGAATCGACATGCAGACTGCCTGCCACCGCACCGATCTTGCTGGGCATTGCAAACCGAACCTGCGCCCGACAATGAAAAGCCGCATTGTACCTGGCAGTCAAAACGATGATATGCGACCGCATGCGATTTTTTCGGCAGGAGTCAAGCTTCGGAAACGTCCAGCGCCGTTAAATCCATCTTGGTGCTGGCTGAGACACGGTGAGCAGTATGGACACGGCTGGGAGCAAACCGCGTAACTCCATCGGTATTTTCGACCTGGCAAGCTAATCAGGCGATTGGGGCAAATCCCGGCATTTGCTTGAACCGACATCGGCAAGGAAAACCACTGTAAAGGGCAGCCAAAACCGTGTTATCGTGTGAAGTGCAACCAAGTGGAGAACCTGGTGAAGCTCGGGTCCGAGCATCTCGAGTGCTGTCATGGCGGCTGCTTGAATACAGACTATAACCGTCCGACAGTCGTGCCTAGGCCGACCTCACCGCGCTGCGGTGGGGATTGCAGAAAGAGGTCCGGTACGTTTTGGACGAAACTACCGAAAACTACCGGCGCGAAGCCTACGCATGCGCTAACGCGGTCCCTGCATGCTGGCTGAAGCGCACGGGGGGGGGCTGTGAGCGGCCGTCGGTCCCTGCAAGCGGAGGCTCCAGCATTGAGGCGGCGAAGATGCGAGATGGACCACGTTTGCAACGGGTACATTTGGCGGTGTTTGCTTCGGTCACAGCGAAGTCAACCGCGCGTGATCACGATCGCGGCGGAGCGCATTCGCCAAAACGTCGATGCCAGAGACCGCGACATCGATGCCCAGGTCGGTGAGGCGAACATTACGTACGGGCTACCCATGCAACATTCGCCGATGGCAAACTTTCACCAGGTCCCGCAGGGAAGGCGCACCTGCTCCGCGCCGTCCCCGCCCACCTCCTCCGCCCCACTGCCATCAATGTCTGGGTCATGCGCTGGCCGGGCCAGCTGCGGTAGCCGCGCAGAGCGTACGCCGCCTCGATGCTCGAGCGACCCCGGCCGACGAGCTGTGCGGAGGCCTTGAACCGGACCTATATATATGAGGTCCTCGCTGAAGCCAAGTGGCAGGAAGAAGTCGCCGCAAGTGCTACTGTAGCCGGCTGTGTGCTTCTCGGTGTCCTGCACGCACTCTCCGTCGGCAGGCGGCTTCGGGAACTAACTCGACCGATGCTCGAAAAAGTTTCGCCGACCACGCGCTTGCATGCCTGCCCTCGCAGTGGCCTGCTGGCCAGGCGGGCTAAGCTAGTTCCGTAGGGCTCAGGCAACTTGTCTTGCAAGTTTAGCCTCTTCCTCGCCGGCCGGTGGTGCAGCTAGGGGACTGCTCCTGGGTACTGAATGCGCAGATGGAGGGTCTCGCCGCAAGATCAGGTAGGGGGGGCGCGCATGCCAGCTGTGCTGCTTGACATTGCAGGTGTTCATGATTGCAAGTGGGCGGCATCGTGGGACAGAAGTTCGTGCTGCTCACCGTGGCTTACGTCCTGGCCGCGGGTGAGGTTCTCCGTTCGGTGCCTGCACAGCCTGCTGCCCGGGAGGAGCCGAAAGCCCACCCACCTGCTGCGCGGTGCGCGGCCACCTCTTCCCCCACCGCCGCCACCTTGGCGAGCTCGCCGCGTCGCTCCCACACAGCCACAGGCCATGTGGGGCGCTAACATTATGAGAATCTTGGCGAGCTACAGCTGGTATACCTCAAATAACCAAACCGAATATGTTCTGCTGGCGGTTGCAATTTTTTTGCATTTGCTGTTTGCGTTTTCTTTGCGTTGCATTTTGTTGCTGCTGTTTGCGTTTTCTTCGCGTTGCATTTTGTTTGCATTTGCTGAGTGTTTCTTTTTTGTGTTTGCTGCCGTGTTTGAATTGAGCGTCGCATTTGTTTTGCATGTTTTTGGGCCGAGGCGGCCCGGGCCCGGCAAAATGCGAAAAGAAGGTGCACCCAAATCCTGAGGACGACCAAAATGCCAAAAGCAAGCCCGCCTGGAAGCGGCGGCTGCAAACAAAAAAGCAAGCCTGCAAACAGAGGCCGAAAAAAAACGCAAAAAAAAGAAAAACAAATGCTCCAGGAAACGGCAAATTTCCCAGATTTTGAATGATTTCGGCAACGACCACAGTTTTTTTTTGTTTTAACGCTTTGGCCGGCCTCTATTTGCAGGCTTGCTTTTTTTTTTGCATTTTGGCCGGCCGCCGCTGCCAGGCGTGCTTGTGTTTTGCGTTTTGGTCGATTTGGGTGCACCATCTCTTAACATTTTGCCGGGCCCGGGCCGCCTCGGCCCAAAAACATGCAAAAAAAAAGGCTACGCTAGATTCAAACACTGCAGCAAGCACAAAAAACGCAAACAGCAAATGCAAACAAAATGCAACAAAGAAAACGCAAACAGCAAATGCAGAAAAATGCCAAATAAATGCAAAAAAAATCCAAACGCTAACGCTAACTCAGTCTGTAGCTCAAAGATTCCTACAATGCCAACGGCGCCCGCTGCCCCAGGCCTTTTGTATCAGTTTTTCCTTGCAACCTCTGTGCAGTCTGCTGGCCCCTTCTGTGTAGTTCGCAACAGTTGCAACATTGTCGGCTCTGCGGGGCTGCCGTAAGAGGCCTGCCTCGCTGCCATGGTTGCTTCCGTTTTTGTGCCATTTCTCCTTGCCGGCCCCTCACTTAAGACTTGCTTTTCCAAAGGTTCAGGGCTGCTGCAATCTGCTGCGCCTTTCTTCAGCACAGTTTGCTCAGTGACCCCTTGCTTTGTCGGAGCGCGAAAAAACAGGCTAGATAGAGCGAGCAATTAGCGCCTTTCCAACCTCCTCCTTGACCACTTCCGGCAGCCCCTCACGTGGAACGTCGGAAGGAGACCGCACGCCAATAGTTCCCGTTCCGGCACCTCAGGCTGCGGTGCCAGCCCGCCGAAGTGCCTAGGGCATGTGCGAGTTCACAGAGCTCACGCGCACTCTAGGGTCGGAGGCATCGGGCCAAGAATTCAACACCCTACACTCACAACCCCAAAGCCCCATGCCCGAAACTCAATGCAGCGTTTGTGTCTGGCCAGCCTCGGGCTTGCAAGCATGAGCACCTCACGAGCGGGGTTGAATTGGCACATGGAATCCCGGAGCTCGGCGTGCGTAGCGTCGGTGGCAGGAGCGAGTGGCTGGCGCGACCCACAGCTCGCGAGGTGAAATGGCGTTGCAGCGTGGTTGGCTCTGTCCTCGACATCGTGCGCGGCCGAGCGGACGACCTCCCCGCACACGAAGGCCTCGCAGCGCAGTGCCAGTTCAGCAAGGGGGGATGCGTGCCTCGCCCGCGCTGCGGTGGGGAAGCATGCGCGGGGAACAGCTCCAACCTCGGAGTTCATGCTGCGCAGTTCAGCGAACTCCAGTGCCGGCCTTGTAAGCCGAGGGCAGCACAGGGGCAGAACATGGGCCGGCTCTTGGGCATCGGCATCTGAGAAGCTGCGCTGCGCGTAGCTGTGGACCAGCGCACGGGTGGTGGAAGCACTCGGCAGGGAGGGCGGTATAGCAATGACGCCATGGCGAATGCAAGCAGCACGGAGGTGCGCATCACTGTGGAGCGGCGCTAAAGGGTGGCGGTAGCCGTCCGTGGTGGTGGAAGCACTCCGCCTTGGTAATCGTTGGGTTCGGGGCGAACCGAAGGAAGAGGCATGTCACGACCCCCATTTGCGTGAGGCCGCGACACACTCGCGCCGACCGCTGTGCTGCCAGGCACGTGCCCCCATGCAGGCCACTTGCAACAATCTGTCGCGCGCCGTCTGAAGCGGTTCTCATCATCAATGGCCCCAACGCAGCATACTTTTGTGGGCGTCGGCGACACTCTGCCGAATCATTGGCCCGCAGTCCCACCGGTTGCGCTGTCAGAGCTTGTCGCAGTTGCGCATGCAGTCGGTCTTGTTGACGGGTCTATATAATGTTGACATGGCATGCGTTTGCAGTCGTCTCGGCATTCTGGCATCTTCCGCCATACCACTGCGTGATGCCGTCGCGGCGATGGCCGACGGGGACTGGATACCAGCCCTGGCACAATCCGCTCTTGCAAGCACGACCTTGTGACCAACGAGATCATTTCGCTTGCCGAGGTGTGTACCATCGAGGAGGAGCCCCGTCCCG